AACAGTTCTGGTATGTGAATGTTAAATCTGGATTATTTTGTACAGTAGCATAATGGATATCCAGCAGTGTATATTAACTTATATGTTGTCTCATTCTCTGCATGTAAACATAGCGCAAATATAAATGTGTGCGTGTGTGTTGCGAACTTTGAAAGGGCATTTGTGTGTGACTCATCATTGCAGAAAGGCTTGAATAAACTCCACAACAAATGCATCAAATAATATTACTTGGTATTTTGACTAAAACTGAATCTTTGCTTCATTTGGATCTGTCTCTGTCACTGACTGCTGTTAATATGATGCAACAAAGCAGGAGAAACGAACAAGCACTTAGAAATGGTGGGCAGGGAGAATCTGCTCATTTGCATTTAAAGGCACAGGCTACAAAAAACAGCTACAATGTCCTCCAACCCCAAAATTGACATATTCAACGGGGGATCTGATGGGTATTTTGAGCTGAATCTTTTCAAACACCTAAGTCATATCTTAGATCTTGTGAAAGGAGTAAATTAGGATCCCTTTAACAGTCACTGTAATATAACAGATCTTCCACTATATGACTTATTCTTTAAAATCCTGCCATGATGTCATATTTGTAATGTCTTTATGCATAAATAGAAAAAAGATGTGTTCATTCAAATTAAGGGGTTAAAAGATATTGTTTATTCTTATTCATAATGTTTGCATTTGAGCATGGACAGATTTTAAAAGAAAACTATTGATCACTCATTTAAGTCAACGTCAGTGTAGTTAAACCTTTATTGCAGTATTTAAAATCAACAAAAATGGCTAGACATTCATACAGACAGCCTTTTAACATAAAGCACCACTGAGTTGTTTGTATACACACACCCAAAACCTTATAGTCAAGTATATTTCAAATACAAATCACTTCAAGCGCCTGACTGCTTTGGTACCAGTGCATTAATTTTTATTCTCTGCACCATTTCTTGTTTTTTTTTTTTTTCCCAGCACCGTATTTAGTTGTTCTTCATTCTCAGCACCATTTTTTTTTTCTCAGCACCATTTTTTTTTCAGCATAGTGTCTTTATTTTTATCTCATCTCTTCATTCATGAGATAGAGATTTTATATTCCAGACTGAAGCAAAACCAAGTTCCAGCTTGTATTGAAGACTTTTTAAAGTTAGAGTTGGTGGCTTGTGGTTTCAGATATTTAATCTCATTCTCCTCAATGTTTCAATCATGCGAGTCCCTCTAAAGTGGATTGTTGCTACTGAAAACGGAAAGCCACATACATCCTGTTTAAACATCAACAAAAAAAACCCCATCCCTACAATAAACAGAGCCAGACACACACAAACACACACACTAAGCAGATTTCCTCCACATGCAGTTAAGCACCAATTCTGTAGTGTAAAATAGAACTGATCGAAATCTAATCACAATTTGAAGTGTTGCGATTAGCTATTAGCTAATGGCAAGGGCCTGCAATATGAAATATAGTTGTATTGTTTAATTTCTCCTGCCCAGAGCAAATGCATGACTGCCATCTGTGTGTGATAGTCTTATAGCAACTGAGTGAGCTCAATCGAGTTATAAGTGTCTTGTTGAAAAATCAACTAAAAGCAGTGATACTCAATCTAGTAGCAAGTGTAACAGCAAAGTACAATTTCAGAGTTGTTTCAGGCATGTTAGTCTGCTGGGTGTTCTGTATTTTTGTAATTTATAATTATTTTTGTTTTTATAATAAGCTACACTATCTCTCTAATTTGAGTTCAACTTGTTTACAGAAGGGTAAGGTCAGTTTATTTGTAATTATGGTTTGCTCTTGAGAAAAATTTGTGTTTCATTTCTGAATATTTCAAAATAAATTTGAATAAATGTTTAATTAAGTTCATATCTTTTCATTTGCTTTTTTTAACTAACACTCACTGCATTTTAAGTGTAAAAAGCTACGATACAGATTATTGAGCTGAAGCTTGACTACAAAATTAAATCGCAAATCAAATCAAAGTTGCAATATCTGTCAAAAAAAAAACGCAATTAGATATTTTCCCAAATTGAACAGCCCTAGTGTAAAATATTTCACTTATGTCCTCCTAACAATAATCCAGAATAATCCCAATCAGTCTAATTTAATGAATTCTTTCCAAATAGAGCTGTTTAAGGTATCTGAAATTGTATTTATGCAATATAAATCACAGAAAAACAAAATATTGCAATGTCAAATTTTTCCAATATTGTGCAGCCCAAAATCAAAAGTAACTGTAAATAAACGTATGTTCCAAAGGTTTTCAACATCAGAGAATCCTAAACATTCCCAGTCTAATTTCTAATTTGATCAATTAGTTGTTTCTTGAACAGTAAGTGAGGATATTAAAATAACTGCTTTATGAACACGTTCTAAAGACTGAAGTAATGGCTACTGAAAATTCAACTTTTCCATTACTGGAGTAAATGCAAAATTGTAACTTTTAATTTTTCTAACCACAAACCTTTGAACAGTATATTAAACATGCGTTTTCACCCTCAGGATGCGAAAATAGGCTTGCATTTAGATCCCAATTTTTTTGCAGTTACAAAGCAATCCACTAAACACCATTCAGAGTGCTCTATAGCAACCACTTGCTTCAAAGTAATAAGTAATAAACTTGTTTTGTTATGGCTACAGTGGTCTGCTGCAGGACTGAATGGTTTAGCTGCAGTTTCTGATCAGATAGTATTGTCAGACAATGTAAATAGCCTATCAAAACTAAAATAAACCAGCTACTATTTTTCAGACACCGCTGATAGATTTTAGAAAGATCTTGTCTGAACACAGACCTAAATATCTGGGCTACATCAGTGGTCCTCAACTGGTTTGCAACTGATTTCAATCTGCAGATCAAATCTGGCTTGTAGGAGTGAAACTGAAATGTCTGACAGATTTCTTTTTTACTAACACATCTAGTTCTGCTTTACTACTCTGTTAAAATCCTGGGTTCCACACATCGCTTTAAATTAGACAACATGAAGGAATTAAGTTAACTTATTAGTTAACTTATAGTTAACCCCCCCCCCCCCCCCCCGGCCAAAAAAAAAAAAGCTTGTTTCAGCTCCTTGTAAATAAGCATTTTGAACAAGCAGCACACATTATTTTTTGACAAACTACCAATTTTTGCATTTTTCTTGTTTCATTGTCTTTCTCACAATGCAAAACTTTGTTGTTGTTATATTTTCTTTGAATACATTTTGACATTTTTTGTTTTTGTTTTGAATGTAAATTAGGGTTGCACAATACTGGAGAAATATACAAGTTGTTGTTGATTATTGTGATTAATTCTATTTCTTACAATATAATAGCTCTATTGAAAATTGCTATTATTACTAGATATGTTTTAAAACCCTTTATTTATTTAATGGTCATGAAATAAACAGGTAAATCATATTTTTAGGATCTGATTTAGAATACAAAACTGTTTCGCGGTTCAAACATTTAGGGGTCCAAACATACAACCGGCCAGACCAGCGCAATCCTAATTTTCACCTCGTTGTTTGAATAGTAAATCTATTAGCACCACTTTGTGAACTCATGGGTGTGCTGGACTAAAATAATAAAAGTTATTATTTTATTAGTAGTAATAGTGATAATGGGCATCGTTGGTGCGTTGCTCTTTTAAAGAACTGAATTAGACTGCGCCATTGACCATTTCAAAGCAGGTCCAAAGTTTAGCATAGATTGCGTTTGTTATGTACCTATGTGGGTTTAAAAGCCTACAAAATGCTTAATACACACAGGGTATGCAGCATTACACAAATATCTTTACATATGAATAAAATTATTAAAGGATTACAATGTTACAAAAATTATTATTTTATACATATAAAAAACACTACCACCACCACACTACCATGCCTCATCTCAGGGGGCTTTTTTAGTTTATTTATGACAATTTGCATTTGTATAATGTTATTATTATCAGCAGTATTATTTATTTTATGCATATTTTTATTTGTTTTAATAAAAACGAGTTTAGATTTGTGCACCTGTCAGGTTTTGGAGACGAATGCATCAAGCCATAGAATAAGATGTATGTTTGGATCTAATCATTTTATTATTCATTATATATACACACTTTACTGTTGTTAAATTATTTGTTTGCTGGAAATTAGAACTGTATTTAGATCTTTGCGCTTAACAAACAAAATTAAATATGTAGGCTAATATATCTTCAGTGGAGTGCGTACAACACCATTTCCTTATCTCAAAAGTAAATGAGTAAAGTAAAAGTAAAAAAAGAGAAAGGCCAAATGGAGGAGGCTCGTTCTTTATCCTTGCGCTGCAAATTGTCTGTTTAACTGTTTTCTTGCTAGTGAAGCATTCGGTTTTTCCACTTACAAAGTCTGCGATGTAAAAAGCAAACGCTCCATGGTGTGACGCAACTGACCCTTAAAGTGAATGTGAGATGAGACTCTGATTGGTTTAATGCACGTTATGCATAAAACACACCTCATTAAGAGAATAAGCACAACACTGTTAGACCATGTGCCGGGTCACAGAGCATATTTTTCTGTCCTTAAAATTTCAAAAGGGGACTCGGAAAAGCTCTGAATACTGTTGCGCCCTGCGCTTAAGACTTTGCGCCTAGACTGTTAAAATAGAACTCTTAGTCCTTAAAAAACTGAGTTAAACCTCACTAGATATCCTTACTCTGATTGGCTGTTGTCATTTTTCTTTCATCTTGACTCCTGCCATTGGAGTTTATTTTTTAGCTCTGGGTTCACCTTTGGGGCAATCTAGTCAATAGCAGAACAGCAACTACTGGGTATCTGGGGTTAAAAATAGTAAGGCCCCATCTGATTGGTCAAACTTAGATAAATCACCAATGCATGAATGTCCTTTATCCCATATTATTGCAAAATACTGTATATTGTGCAGCCCTAATTGTAATGATGATAGTATTACACAACCTCAAAAGTTGACTTGAGAAAGTTGAGCTTGTTTTGTGTGGCATAAAAAAACATTAGTTGTTTTTTTTGTTTTTTTTTACTGTTTACTATCATTACTGTAACAGACCTGTGACAAAAGCTGTGCCACATGTATGTGCAAGCTAGCATTGTCAAGTATCCATGATTAAACCTATTAAACCGCAGAACGCCACAAAATGTTTTGTTTTTATATTAATGAGATAGTTAAGTACTTTTGCACAAATAGGAGGTCAGCTTTCAAGAATATTACCAATTTAAGCAATGCAAGAATTTCTAAACGAAGCAGAACATTTGTGCGTTTCAGAGTGTTTTGTTCCTAAACGATCTGTTTTAAGACCTACTTTAAATGAATCATTTAATTAATCGCTTATTTATTCGTTTTCATTAGGCATATTTTCAATTTGTAGATTTAGTTATTGCGAGGTGTTTGGCACGAACAAAAGTGAAGAGCAGGGGGCGGGGGGCGGTAGAGAAGGGGGATTAGTAAAATGAGGTGCCGGATCAGATTTTAGAGGATCCGGCACGTTCCGGCACAAATTAAGCCCTGGATATAACCAAGTCAGGCTCATTCTGATTACGTACCCTGTATATAAATTTCTGGAGAGAGTAAAATGTGTCCCAGGAGCTATGTTTTTAGTGTTTTATTTTTAGCAGTTTTTGTTTTTGTGAATTCACTAGAGGCCACTGTGTAAGCTTTTTCAACATCTCTAGCAAGTGCCTTTTGCACTGTAGTTCTCAGATTCGAACCCGCGGTCAACTTCGCTCTGTGTCTCAAGTCTGCTGATGTACATGTTTAGCTACTAGACAAGCTGGTAATAGCGGTAAAGTCATCCATACAGAGGTAAACAGTCAGCTGGTAAGCATGAAATGCAACGGCATCATATCACCCTGTAGTGATCGTTTTAAAGATGAAATGGAGCCATCTGTAGCTCTGGCTATAATTTGTGATCTCCACAAATGTATATTGGGTTACGTTTTTAGATTAAACCTGTGTTGAATATAACGTTTTAAAAACTTCTCAGATACTGGCAGTTGCAATGGTCAGATGGCCGTCTAGCAGATTTTTAAACAATCTAGTATTGTGCCGTAAAACTTTATGATTAGTTTACTGTGTGCTCACAATGGTAATATAAATATTACAATAGCTGAAATGTTATTTTACAACTTCTTCTACCTGAAAACTGTCAGAACTGATTTACCAGTGTTTTTTAAAAAGGTCCTGTTCACACATCATGTCCATACCAGTAATGACCTCATGCGTGAAAGGAGCTGCTGAGTCCTGTGGTTTTTCTGCTTTGCATTTGTTTGACTTTTTCCAGAAATATAGCTAATATGAAATGCTTTTCAGCTTTGTTAAATTTGCTCATTTTCAAACATCTTGTTCATAATCATCATTTTTTGCTCTCACTCCATATCTGGTTTGATGAGGTATCCATTAAATGTGATGTAAATATCCACATCGTCACTGTAGATGGCGTTTTCCCGCTCATGTTTGAAGAGCCGGACCCAGACCTCGTCACTCTCCTTCAGAGGTAGCATGACGCTCTGGCTCTGCATAATGGAGCGGTCACTGGGCTGTGCGTAAATAATGGCCTTCGTGTTGTCATTTTGCATGATGTGCAGGTATGTCTCCTTGAAGTTCCACGTGTGAATGTTCACATTGAAGAAGTAGATCCCTGCTATGTGGCAACGGAACTTTCCGGAAAACATGTCAAAGTGTTCAGGGGTGTTCACGAAGATGTTATCAAAGATCAGGGCCTGATAGTGGTCGACGCTGTGAAGTGACTTCCTTCGGCCCACTGAGAAAGCAGAATGCTGAGCCTTGCAAGCATCACCTGGAGCTCCTGCCTGACCTTTATCTCCTTTGGGGCCTTCAAAACCCTGTTGTCCTTGAGGACCCTCAATCCCAGTCTTCCCAGGAGTTCCCCTTTCTCCACGGTCACCCTTGTCACCTCAAAGTGTGAGAACAAGCAAACATGTCAGAAAACAGAAAACTAAATGAGACGTGCATTAGGCTGTTGTTCAGATAACTGTAACTACATTTTCTGAAAGTTAGACTCAAGTTTTTTTTTTTTTTACAAATGTATACAAAATATGATATTTATAAATTATTAATGCATTAAATAAGGTTTCAGAATTAAAACTTTATTGTAAAATGTTATCTTCTAAACATTCAAACTCATAAAATGCTCAAAATGCAGACAAAAAAAGTCTCCAAAACCTCAAACCACAGCTTCTAAAATGTTAAAAACTTTGGCTTACTTTTTTTCTGCCTATTGTTTTTTTTTGTCAACACACAATTTTGCCTCTAATTGTGAGCTTGAAATTTCCAAAGAGCACATTTCCTGCAAACTTAATTTCTGTGTATATATAACAAACACGTGTGCATGCACAGACACATAGAACAACTCTCATATGGTTCCCGCCACATCAGCACCTTTCCTGCCAGGTTTGATACTTCCTGTCCACCAAGCAGGCCTCCAGTGGAGCAGAGATTTCTGAGCCAAGAGAGGTTAACTGAGGCTCAAGGAGAGGAAGAGAGCAGCTGAAAACACGCATTTACATCATCCAGCTGCATTTCCCTGTTGAATTACAGTCATGCTCAGTTTGAAGTTTAGATCCAATATCCTGCATGCAGTAATAGATTTGGAAATGGAAAAAACTGAAATCCAACAAGGATCAATGAGGTTAATATTTGGCGACAATGAGATGTATCTTGCTATAGTATCTCACCTACGGATGCTTCAAAAGTTTAACTGTTGATTTTGCAATGGTATCATTGAGCATTTAGGCTTACCTTTGGAAACTGTAGAGATTTATTTGTGAATGACAGGCTTGTTAATTCATTAGCAGCATGGTTCTTTTAGTTGTGTGGTAAAATACTGTTTGAAGATTTTCATGTACCTTTGAGAATAGTCATATTGATGTATGTGCGGACCTCAGGCATTGCAGGCATGCCTTCTCTTGTGGATGCAGAGTCATCTAGTGGTGGGAGGTGGTCACAGCATCGACGGCAGGGTGGCTGAGGTACAGAGACTACCAGATGCAGAAACAGACAGGCAAGCAGGAGGAACCCAAACATGGTGTAACCTGAGAACATATGGAGTTACAGTCTTAGAGAGTCAATCTCAAATCACTTCTGCAGCCTCCCAATCAGTAAGGAAAAATCCTTACCATCCTGTTGACTGCTCAGTTATTTTCAACTATTTATTTACTTGTACAGCAGTCCTTCTCAAGTGCGCAGCAAAAGCGAAAGTGACCTGCGTGAAGTGTGGGTCTCAATACACTTTCGAAGGAACACTGGAGCGGTCCAATTGTGGTGAGAACTTGGGGGGCCCGGGGGTAACCCACGCGAGCACAAGAACTCCTTACACAAAGTTGAATGGCCTGGTAAGGACCAGAACCGATGACGTTCTTGCTGTGGGGCAACAGTGCTAACCACTGGGCCGCCATGCCGCCCATCTAGGTAAGGAGTAGGAGTAGGGGAGGAATGGGGGATTCTCCAAAACAAAGATGACTAATGCAATTTATTTGTGTTGAATATAAACAAACAATTTTAAGTTTAATAAACAAATTAAGTTTAATAATGTTCAACTTTAATTTGTTTGTTTAAATTCAACACAAATAAATAGTTTACAACCACCTCACATAAAAAAATTGAGTGAATCCAAGGAGTCATCTCTGAATATATATTTTTTAGTATATGAAATAAAGCAAACTATTATAAATACTATAATACTTATAATTAAATTATGAATATTCACTTTTGTTTAACAGTTTGTGTTTGTGATGTGGAAAATATCGTCCTTTAACGCACGTCAAACATTATTTGTTTTTTTGTACAAACCAACCAAAAAAAAAAACTAAAAAAAAAAACATTAAAATAAAGAAACAATTTATTGAAATTCATTACAAGAAAAGATTTTTTTTTCAACAAAATATGAAGTTAAAAATGTTTTTTCTCAATGTTCCATGCTGTTATTTTTGTATTTTTAGTCTTATCAAGTAAGAATTCAACGTAATTCCAAATTTCTGTTTAGTGAGTTGTTCTTTTTAAGAGATTTTCAAGGTCGCTGTAGCTTAATCATATTCACATGAACAGAAATGAACTGATTCAAATGTGTATTTGAAGCATCAGAAAACAAGGCACAAGTTCTACACACTTTTGCAGCCTTAATGCAGACTATTAAAATAAAATAAAGTTGTCTTGATCATTTACTGGCACAAATGTGTGAGCATTTTAGTGACTTTTCCATATGCAACATTAGCTATTTTAGAACTGTTAATGACAATACTACCATTTACAAACTACAGAGGCACGCCATTATTTTGGTGCCATAGTATTGTGGTGCCATAGTATTGTATTGTCGAAGTACCGGTAAACCATACAACCCAGTATCTATTATATTGGCCAAAATCGAATTTTCTTGCAACATTACAAACAATTCTTGGTTTAAGATCTATTCACTGAAAAGTAATATTATTTAAACAAAAGCTATCATTATGGAATTTCTGTGAAAACCTTTTCATGCATTTCAGTCAGTCCCTACTATAACTTTCCACACACTGTTATTTTTCCGCAACTGTGATACTGTGGAAGCACCTCTGTATTTATCACTGGGATCATTAGGGTAGACTGGATTAGCGTAATCTTGGAAAATAGAAAGTTTCTGGATAATGTTAAGAGTGGAATGCAGCCTGACTAATGTAGGCCCCCTCAGGACACGGATTAATGTTTCTGTTGGTCTGAGTCCAACTAGCACACAGGACTACAGCTAAACTAACAGAGTTCAGTCCATGTGTCTCTCCGCTCGACAGAATCCAGTTCATATCTGACAATTATGTCTCTTGAGAATGAACAGAAAACTCAAAGCGCTTCCAAATTCAGATCTGATCTTAATCTTCAATGTTAAAATAATATCGTCTTTCCCAGCCTAATGTATGGATATTAACCATCACTGTCTTTGAAAAGTGTAAACAGTGTTGCTGTGTTATGTTTCCATGCAATCATATAGTGCTTATTAGATGGAGACCGCTGTGCTATTATTCAAATCAACCTTTGCCGCTCCATGATTATGCTATAATCTTTTTCAGATGAACTTCCCAAAACAATGAAAACTTGGCTGCTTGTTTTATATGCAGGTCAAACATTTCTTGTTCATATCCAGGAAAACTGCAAGTGGACCTTAAATCACAGCTTCAATCAGTGGATATTAAACATCATATTACAATTGCATTCCCTGTCAGTAAAAGACATGCAATTTACTAGTAAACAGAGAAACAATAACCTTTTTACTTAGATTTACTTAACTTTGAGATCTGTTTTTTTTTTTATTATTAATTTATACATAAATTTATACTTTTATTCTGCTATGATGCATTGCATTGATTAAAACATTACAGATATTTCTATTTTTTATCAAAAAAAATCCTGAAATGTATGTGGTCTCGAAGAATATTAAGCTTCTAAAGTTTCTAAAACTCACAGACGGAAGAATATTGTCTAAACATTCAGCAAATACGTTTCACTTTAAAATGTATTCAAATAGAAAAAAATATTTTAAACTGTAATGTTTTCTAAAAAAAGAAAAAAAAGAAAGCCACTCTAAACCTTTGAACTGTTGTAGTGTATCATGTTTATATGCTCAAATCTACAATGCATTCATTTATGTTCAGTAAACCATAAAGTCTTATTCAAAGCTAGAATCAGAAGCACGTGTTGATCAACTCAGTTTTACCATTCTTAATAGAAGAGATCAAGAAGAGCTTTTTAAAGCTTTGTAAATCTCACTTGAAAATCAGAACAACAAATGGAAGAATCCCGGAAGAATGTCAAAGCCTATTCTGTACTGAAATTTGGATTGAGCTGGAGGATTTTATGGTCTTGTGGTAGGCTCTTTTTTACATCAGATTTTAACAGAACGCTGCCGAGATCACAGAAATGTATCAGAAAATAACAGATGTTACATTACATAAATTTACCAGAAAAGTTCAATTTAAGAAAATTTCTGTAATTTCACGTTCGTTATTTTACGGTAAATGTCTAATTTATTGGCTGCTATTTTATGTTTGCTTGTTTCCAGCACCCTGGCTGCCAGAAAAATAAAATAAAAAATATATAAAATATATAAAATATATATATATATATATAAAATTAATTAATTAATAACAAATTAATTATTTGTAGCCTACCGTTTCAACTACCTGACCCGCATGGTCTTTGTTTTACCCATAACCAAATCATAAATAAATAAAGTTGCACACAAATTACCACCTGTCAATCACTTTTCCGCTGGAGGTTGGTCGGTAAAAAAGGTGCACAACAAATTTCACTAAAAATTTTTTGTGTGTTTTCACTAAAATTACTAAGTACAAGTGTGAAAGTGAAAGACTGAAGCAGTGTACTGATGCTGTGATAAATTACCTGAAAGATTCAAAAGACCGAAGAGTCGTTAGATAGAGACAACATTAATTAAATATTACCTTTAACAACTATAGTGAGACACCATCCGGCGGTACATCCTTGATAAACTGTCCAACGTGCAATATATATATTTTGAGTGCAAACACAATTTTGAATAACTTAAAATAAGTGGTGGATTTGCCACGTGAGCATCATAAAAAAAGATGCACGATATGATAGACCATAGACCAAGCTAAAGATGGAAAAAGCATATTCATAAAACACCACCATCAAATAACATCATCTGTGTCCTTCAAAAATTTCTTGTCTAACATTCAATGTTCAGTACAACAGTCAGAATCACTTGCTATAATCATATAGCCTGCAGCCTCCTAATTAAAAACATGCTAACACGAAGTCCGTTTTCCCAAATGACTGTACTGTAAAAGTGCAGGCGTGTGAATCATCAACTGTGGATCTGAGCCGTGGCAGAGCATGAACGCTTTGCACATGTTTTCTTGTCTCCAGCTGTCCATGTGCTGGCAAGATGTACTTTTCTAAGCACTGTAACTAACAGATCACCTAAATGAGGCTGCACAGTTTGATCGCAAACTAGTTTTCTAAAACAAAAAGCCTAAATGAACAACTATAAAGCACAATTTCCTGTTGGTGATATTATATGCGCATGTGTGTGTTCTGTGTGTGTGTGTGTGTGTGTTCAAGCAAGACTTACAGTACTTGTAGATGTGTTTCCTGCTGCAGTCTTGTGTCTCCTGCTGAGAAGAGAAGTTGGAGAAAAGAAAAGGGAAAAATCTTCGGTCAGCTTATTTCTCCCTCCCTCACTTTTTCTCTCTTTCTCCCTCCCTTTCTTGCTTTCTAATTCACCCTCAGTGTATTTCTTCCATCCTGTTTTTCTGCACACACACATTGAGCCTCCCAGCTGATGGAACTTTCCTATTTATTGCACTCTTCCTTCTATTTTTCTTTTCTCTAATATGAACTGACAATCGGTTTAGACATTAGAAAGATTTACTTTAGCTTCTTTGAATGATTTTTTGACTGTGTTGTGAAGTAGAATATTCTTTCTAAGGTTTTTAGGTTCTGCATTAGATAGCGGTGAATGATGTGAAATTCTGCATGACTTGTAAACATAAACATTTATAGGTCCACACACAAATAAACCCACATAGAAACTCACTACATGCTTCATGTTAGCGTTGTGTGGTTTGTTTCTTGAATAACCCAGACTTTGGTCTTCAGAAAGCTATGTTTATCTTACACAAAGGAATTTCAGGAAAATAGTCAGCATAACTTACTGCTGGAATTTTTGAAGGACATAGAAGTATGTTTTTCTGTCATCGTGGAGATTTAACATGGTGTTTTCGATGATCTAACCCTGTATTTTGAAGTTTTAGACATTTATATTTAAAGGGATAGTTCACCTAAAACGACTTTACTGTTTACTCATCTCCTGGGTAAAAACCTTTGTTTTTTTCTTCTGTTGAACACAAATGAATATATTTTGAAGAAAGCTGTCCACATGGAACTATTTACATTAACAGTAGGAAAAATAATCGCTATGGAAGTCAGTGGATGCAAAAAATTCTTATTTGCAAATTCTCACAACGCAAACACATTTTAAAAACGTGCTGTATTTTCCCACAATGCAAACAAATTAATAAAATGCACTACATTTTCACAACACAAACAATTTACCAAAACGTGCTGCATTTTCCCACAATGCAAACAAATTAATAAAATGCACTACATTTTCACAACACAAACAATTTACCAAAACGTGCTGCATTTTACCACAATGCAGACAAATTAATAAAATGCACTACATTTTCACAACACAAACAATTTACCAAAACGCGATGCATTTTCTCACTTGTAAAAACAACAGAACACAACAGAAAAGTTTCAAAAGGACTCTAAACCGTGACGGATGCCGCTGTGCCATGACTACTGTTCATTGAATTTGTTGGTGATCTTTGACAGGTAAGTTTTTGTTTATTTTAATATCCTGATTCCCTTGTCTTTAGTTTTTTTTTAGCCTAAATACCCATTACCTATAGCCGGGTCTGGCACATTTTAGGGTCCCCTTAAACATTTCTGCTGTGTTCCGTGATATTTGATTATGTTGTGGGAAAATGCAGCTCATTTTGGTAAATTGTTTGTGTTGTGGGAAAATGCAACACGTTTTTTTATATGTGTATGAGTTGTGCAGCATGTGTGCTGTCAAATGGATGAAGATCTTTTCTTAATTTTCTTGTGTTTTTTGTAATATCGTGTGTTTTCTTAAATTACAGCACGTTAAGATCTTTCGGCCACTGTACGATCTGTTTGAAATGTGCATTTGTGCAATTATTTGTGATATTGTACTCTTTGCATGTGTTGATTATGGGTGCAGCTTAGTGTTTTGCTGTTTGTGTTGCTGCAAACCACTGCACTGGTGTGAATAGCAAATCTTAACCGTTTGAACCTAATAAGGATTTTTCACCGGAGAATGTCATTTGAATGAGCAATCTATGACTTTTGTTCTCACAAGACTGTAAAAAATGCAGGGTTCCACAATTGCTTTATGCTGTTTCAACACAATTTAAATAAGTTAACTGTTTTTTGTTGTTGTTGATTGAACATAAAACAATTAATTAATCCAACAAAACCCCTCAAGAATTGTGTTAATTTAGCTCATTATAAATAAGTGGTTTGAATAAACAGTAAGTGGGGGTGGGGGATATTACAAACTGATCGTAATCTTACTTGTCAGTTAGCTTATATCGCAGCACTAAACCAAGCACACTTTTAATGTTATACAGTACGTTATTTTAAAGTAGTTCATCTCAATAAGCATTGTGAATTCATTGTGTACTTCATGAATTTAGTGTGTATTACTGTTCCATTTAGATTTCATAATCAGTCTGGTCTCTAATTGTCACACTATTACACTATTCAAGTTTTACATAAAGTGAAATTGTTCTCTATCCCTATTTTAACCCCAAAATGTTATGGACTGGATCTTTAATATGCCTATTAATGGGGCAGGGGTAGAGCATCCAGAAAGAGCACACTAATATATTTCTTTGTACAGAATTGTAATGTAATTAATATTAGTATTTTTTTTAAATAATCTCTTTCTGTCCCTAATGTATTTCCTAATTTCCCCCCCTCTTTCTCTCTTCTCTTGATGATGAATGAATGATTCAGTACTATCATAATTTGATTTCTATGATAGTTGGTTTGTCTTGAAATAAACATTCTTAAAAAGTTTTGTCTAAAATGAACATTCTTCAATTAGTGGAATGTAAATTTTGATTGCCTAATAATAGCGTTGTCCATATACTGAACAGAAATTGAGACTTTTATTTTGTTCTCTATACTGGCTTTTGATGTACAGACATAAAAAATGTGTAGAAAAATATTTAATAGAATAAATTCATACCAATTTGGAACTGCTTAGTTTCATGAATAATGACAACAACATTAATATTTGGGTGAATTATTTATATACCCAATTATTAAATGGACAAATTATTCTTTTAACAAATCTTTATTGCAATTACCTTTATTCTCTTTCCTCAGCAGAGTATGAGAGATATGTTGTAGGCAGGGTTCTTAGATTCTTAGGCAGGGTTCTTAGGTAGTTTTTTTTTTTTTTTTTTTCTCTCTCTTCAGCTTTTCTCTTCTAGGCATTTAATGAAAAATGTTGATAGAAATATGTGTATCCTATTAAACAAAACTTATGATTATGAATTACACTATTAACCATACTTGTATATTTCAATACAAAATAATAATTATAAATGTAGATTACCAGACCTAGAACTATTTTCTGAAAATGAAAATGGTATTGTTTTTATAATAATAATAATATTTACATAGGCATTAGCTTTTTTGAACGTGGTATAGATTACACTGCCTACATATTCTAAGCAAATTGTGGGTATAAAGTATTTTATCTGGTTAGAGTAGAGCTTACACATGATGGGGAATACTGTATCTATACGGCATTATGTTATGCACAAATGCAGCATCTATGTAATATAAGAAGAACTTTTGAGGTTCTGTAAACATTCAATTTAAAGTGCGCCCTTGTTGCAATACACACAGTCATCTGTTTTACATTAGCACGTCTGGGTCACTGGAGGAATTCCTGTTACTTATGTAATAGTAACCACCTCATTCTCTCTGTATATGGAAAGAAAATTAGGGTCTGTCATTGACCTTTGATTGACAAAAGGCTGATTTTTGTCCTCTGCTCAACCCGTGCTCATTCCTCTCCATCTGCTTCCTCATTTTCCTTTCAATTGTTGTCCAACATTCTTCTCTGCGGTTTTGCACACATAATTATTTGCCATTAACATCAGGACCTGTGAGAGAGTTTTTTATGAAGCTTGTATTTTGGGGGGTAAGAACCATCTGTAGTATCTGAATATAAATGGAATAGTTTCAACCATTCCAATCCCATATGGATTTCTTCAGTGGAACACAAGGATAGGTATTACGCACAGAATTCAAGCTGTTGTTTACCATAAACCTCTTTACTATAAAACTCTGTAAAGCAATTTTAAAGATTGTGTGTAGGGAAAGATTTTACTGCACAGTGATTCGTAATATTTACTTTAAAGACTTTATTTTACTGCTTTGTTTTATAATGTTGTTACAAAATACGGCAAATGTGACCGGATCCATATTAATATCCACTGCTGTATTGATGTTTTTTACTGCTGTATGGATATCCATTATGTTAATGTACAAAATAAACCTGATTTAATGTCCACAAACTGAGATTGAAGCAGCGGCTTTTATAATTGTACTGACAGTGATAAAATCTGTGGTGATAAAATCGCTGTAATTCATTACAGACATGCAAAGTTTTAAAAAACGTTTTAAATATGTAATTTAATGTAATGTAAAACTCATTCTTGGTCTTGTTGATATGATTATACATGATACGAGAATGTTTATACGCAACTGTCAATCAATCAATATCTGGCGCCTTTATCTTGTGATCGGATCTATGAAAATGCAGGTGTGAGGCAGGTGTAAAATGTTTAGAAATCATTACAATGCGTTAAATTGCTGCTCAAGAAATAATTTAAATGATAGCATTTTAAAATCACTTGTGTAGCATAGTATTTTTATGGAAACCACAATTTTGAATTAATAAAAAGCAATATTTTTCATTTAAATATTGTTATATTTTTCACTCCTTTCTACTTAAAATACAGTTGAAATCAGAATTATTAGCCCCCCTCTGAATTTTTTCTTTTTTAATATTTCCAAAATTATGTTTAACAGAGCAAGGAAATTGTCACATAATGTCTGAAAATATTTTTTATATCTGTTCATTTTAGCTTAAATAAAAGCAGTTTTTAATTTATTTAAAACTTTTTTTAAGGTCAAAATTATTAGCCCCTTTAAGCGATGTTTTTTTTTCGATTGACAGAACAAACCAATGTTATACAATAACTTATAGTAAACCTAATTAATCTTAAAACTTTAAATGTCACTTTAAGCTGTATTGAAGTGTCTTTAAAAATATCTAGTAAAATAATGTGCTGTCATGCATGGCAAAGATAAAATAAATTTATTAGAGATGAGTTATTAAAACTATTATGTTTAGAAATGTGTTAAAACAATCTTCTCTCTGTTAAACAGAAATTGGGGAAAAAATAAACAGGGTGGCTAATATTTTAGGGGGTTAATAAATCTTGCTTCAACTGTATATCTGTCTTTAGTTTTATTATACAATTGTGAGAACACTACTGCCCCCTGGTGGCTAAATCATCAATTAGACAATTTCATTGAAGAGGGTTCTGCGCATATCTGAGCACCAGAATGTCAAACATTATTATAAAACCTCTGCCACATAAATGAAAAAGCATATTACAAATGTTTTTTTTTTTTCCTGTTTTTTGGTTCGTTGAGTTCATTTTTCAGGCCAGGCAGAGGAGAAAAGCATTTATTTGGTTACAAAAACCACACTACACAGCCGTGAACGGAAACAGGCTCGTACATATAAATGTCAGACCACATGCTACCTGCAATAACTGTGCTCATACACACACACACACACACACACACACACACACACACTAGCTTATTGTGTGAACAACATAAATACAGGCCATGATAGTTTTGGGATTTTATTTCAGTTCAAATAATAATAAAGCATACAATGGATAACAGTCTTAAAAGAAAAAAGTATTCTTTTTAACAAGGATAAAATATCAAAGTATGGAAACTTGTTTAGCCATGGTAAAAATGCTGATTAAATCGTTGAAATCTTTTTTCTACAGTTTTGCCCGTATACTCAACAATTCTTTATACCTCAAGTATAAAAGGAGACTTTTTTTCCCACAATTAAATGAGATTTAAAGTCAGGTTTAATTAAAATATGATTCAGTATTTAAAAAAAAGATTTTATTTATTTCTGTAGCTGAAACATACCGCCATAAATAAGTGGAATTTTGTTTTTTTATAAAAATACATATTTCCTGTTTACAGTATCCATGAAAACAATGAATACTGTTTATTTTAATAATAAAATCAGGTTCTTAAGATTTTAGGAGTACAATATAGAAATGTCTAAATAATGCCACTAAAAACCTTGTTATAAAAAGTAAAGTACAGATATCAATAGTGATTTTTACCCTGAACAGCTTTCAAGAGTTCCCACTTAGATATGCTTGGCACTTATAGCAGGTTTGGCATGCTGTCCCGGGAGAGAACCCTGAGCTCGGAGATATTTGAGCCCAGGGCTCCCGCCCGGTCTAGAAGCATATCAGGAGAACCGAGATCAGTTAGGTCTCGATCGCTCCCCCTTTAGAAGGGGAGAAAAAGGAGGAGATGGGGTGGAAGGGGGGATTCTTCCAAAATGAAGATAGTGCAATGAGGAGAAAGTGATCCATTTATACTAAGCTAGGATTATTCTGATTGGATTATTACTGATTACCGATGAGTGGCCAGCGGTGCACAATCATATCACGTGCTCCTCTTGAAATTAGTTTATGAAACTTCACTTTAGACTTTAGGCATAAAGACAATAGAGATTCCTTAAATTTATCCCTTAAAAAAAAATAAATTCACATTTCAAAAGCAGCATTTCTAGCACGTTAATCACATGCATTGATGTTAAACATGAAACAAGTAAATAGCAGCTAAAAATAAAGCAAATGCTTTGCATTCGATATTAAAAACCTGGATTTGGAGACCTAAAGGTTTGAGCCAATTATACGCTGCCCTTTTCAAAAAATATTACCCTGGCAAATAGGTAAGAGCCTCCCATTTGATAATTACTGCATGAATGATTATGTTTCAGCTGATAACACGTTATTTAACTCTAACTGATGCAGAGAGTAGCTTCTCATTTCTTAAAACGGCCATCTCAGAAGACACATCCTGTGGTCGCTGAAAGCTGTTCATCTGTTTCAGAAAGGTCAAACTATTGGCAAAGATAACATCTAAGGAAATTGCAGAAACTAATAGTGATAAGAACTGTTTAACGCAAAACTGGAAGGGCAGTGGGGAGCCATCATCTTTGATGAAGAGATTTAGTTGGGAAAAATCCTAAATAATTGAGATTGGTAAAATCAAATCAAATCGTAGACAAGCAACAGTAAAACTCACCTTTATGTTTAATAGTGAAAGTAAGGGATTGGGACTAAACAGCTGTGTAGCCTTACGAAAACCACGTATCAGTGACCCTAATCTGAAGAAAAAATCTACCAATTTCAGTTTACTAAGGAGCATAGAGTTTGGACTATGAAGTCATTTTGTAACCTTTAATTTTAGATGGGCAGTATATTGGGGTAGATGAAGTAAATTTTAGATTCTAAAAATATCGAATGCTAGCAAATGTAATTTTTTTTGGCATTACAGTTTAAGTTATATAAGCTAAATTGCCAAATTAAACATTATGAAATCAGCAAAGCAGACAACAGATATTAGACAGATGCTTACTTCATGTCAATTAACACGTAAAATACAACACAAAGTATATCAATGTTTTGCGTTCAGCAAACTGACGATCACAAAAGACAATCATTTTAACATGTTCTGTAATGCAAGTCTGTAAGAGGGGTTCAAAAACACAAATGTGAAGCTTGCATTTTTGTCTAAGCAGCTAATATCAATACCTCCATTCAAAAACATGTCGTTTAAGCTGTCTCCTTATTGCATTGAAACTGACCTTCAAAAAAAGCTTTAGTACTGAATCCAGAACTTTTTAATCTAGCTTATCATGTCTCTGTACAGAAGTATCTGGAATGTAACAGTTCTGACCCGTTTTAATGCAGCTGCTGTGGATCCTCAACCTTATTATGATAGTATATTATTCATTGAAATGGAATAAAGTAAAGTATATAAGTAGCAGTTACATAGCAGTATTGCATATTGAATCTTCAGGGGAGACTGGGGTTAAAAGAGCTACTTGCATAAACTAGTATTACACAGTCACTATTTGAACATATTGTTAATAGATGTTAGGTCTAAGAAATATGTTCAAAACGGCTATTTGAGATCATTTTAGAGGACATTATGACCTTTGTTTTTAATAATTTTTATTTATATTACAAAACGCAGCAGAATATTAACGTATATAATATTTCAAAATGTATTTTCCCACCTCAACATTTGTTAAACAGAAATGACATTTAAAATATATTATATACTATAAAAAATACATTTAAATTGACCAATGCATGTGCGTATATTATAAAAAAAAAACATTATTACATTAAATTTTAAATTGCAGTCATCTTTCTAAATACATCCATTTTTTCTATCCATTTAAAAGTGACCGAATGGAGACCACACTTTTTTAAAAGTCTCTGGTCTACTTTTGATTACATATGTACATTTTTAAGAGCAAGATTTATTTATAATGCCCTATTATATTTAATATTTATGGTTTGTTTATCTTCACTGGAATAATATGCTGTCAGGTTCACTTATCCCTATAGAGTGTCAGAGTATGTGCAGCTATTGCAGCATGTTGCTACAATTGTGTTCAATGAACTGCACTGTATTTTTGAAGCAAAAAATGTCAGAATGTTCTGTAGCTTTTTTGTGAGTCTTTAAACAATACAGCCTTTTAAAAGTTATATGAATTATTATTATTATTATTATTATTATTATTATTATTATTATTATTATTATTATATTATTTAATTAAAAGTTACAGAAATATTGTTCCAAAAAAGGACATTTTCTTTCATAAATCTCAAAATAGTTCATATTCATATTAAAAAATTCCTTCTTACAAAAATATTGATAAACCCTTTTTTTATTGTTGATCATAATAATACAGTCCTGTAGCTAGCCTGGTGAAAGGGGTGGTTCTTTTTTCTCAAAAAATAGATCCTTTTGCAGTTATTCGCCGCATTTTCTATTCAACTATGTGGTTTAATGCAGCTTAAATACTTTTAATGACATTTAAAGCACTACTTTTTGCTGGACTAGCTTGTTGGGTGGTCATCATAATCACACTTTTTAATGTACCAAAATGTACAACTTTTCCTAAAGTTTTGAATACTGAAATATATATATCTCTTAAGGCTTTAAGTAAATTGTTTTGTAAAATAGTAAATTTTCATTTGTTTATCAGGCAAATAACAAACTGGGCAGCACATTCAACTTTCCTGTCAGACTTTGTCCACTCAAATAATAAAAAATGTTAATAATAATAATAATAATAATAATAATAATAATAATGATGATGATGATAATAATGATAGTAATGAAAATAATAACAATGTAGAGCTTTCTGATTTTTCTAGCCTTTCTTGTACAAAATACATTTGAAAATTCATGGATACCAACAATAGCCTAATTAGTATTCAAATTAAGTTTTATAAGCTTTTTATTGCTCTTATGTTCCCCTTTCAAGTATAAGGTCCAAGATTTAGAAATAAAGTTACTTGTAAAAAGTTTTTTTAAAGCCTTCTTCGATTAGTTATTGTCACAATTTATGATGGCATAGCAGTCAAAATAGGACAAATGAGCTCATGTATGGGACAAATTCAGGATTTTTGTCAGTGAGGCATGGGTCCTTCGAACCACCCGAACCCTACCTGGCTACTGGCCTATACTAAACATTTCAAATCAGCATTTTACAGTGATTTTTCAAAAGGCTTGTGTAACTGAAGATTTGAAGTAATGTTGCTAAAAATCATCACACGAATGAATTATATTTGAAGGTTGTTTTACATTTTGATAATATTTAACAATTCTACTGATTTGATGTATTTTTGATTTTAAAAATACAGCCTTGGTGACTAAATAAAGGGAACTTTTATTATATAACCAACTCTAAACATTTGAAAGGCAGTTCATACTTTTTTTATCCTGCACTGATCTACCCATGAACCTTCTTTCAGATGGATTTATTGCTGTACTTCTGCATCTCCTTCAGGGTGAGATATCCGCTCCCGCTGGGCTCGATCATGGAGGCAGGTCTGAGTGCAGTGCTCTCTGCTGGCTCACAGAGAGAAGCACAGCTGGGCGCCTTTACAAGTTCAGACCAGGCTGAGAAGACAGGTACTGGAGGGAAAACCTCAGCCGGCTGAACGCCACCCTGAGACAGTGACATAATGAAGGAAACCAATGCCTTTCCTTCTGCCACTGCTCTCTCCGCGCCTCCTATCTCTTCACCATCTCCATCATCCTCACAATGCTGCTCATCAGACATGGCAAATCCTGAATCCGGGCTCATCGGCTGCTCCGGCAGGGAACTTGGGGATCCCAAAGAGTGGCACGAAGAGCTGGACGATGAGAGAGAAGAGTGGGTGCCCTCATCAGGGTGGTAAGAGAAATACACGGGACAGGATTCCAGGTAGAGTGAGCCAGTATGAGATTTGCTATAGAAGTAGCCCATGTTATAGAAACCTGAGGAGGACGATGCTTTACTGGTGCCGCTGTTCTCCACTCCAGAGTCCACCTGACCGGCGTGAACTAGCATGGTGGTGGACATCTGGGCATCGGGATCCATTAAGGAGACGTCCCACATATCGGAGACCTCCACGGGTGAGATGTCATCACTGGATTGAGGCGTAAGAAATGGGCCGACTGAATTCTGACCGCCCAGCCATTTCTGTGGAAAGGTGAGAGGAAATGCATGTGGTCAGTGTGTGTGTATGTGTGTGTGTGTGTGTGTGCTTGCGTGCATTTGCGTGCATTTAGGTCCCCAATGGGCTCCTAAATCACACAATATGAAGTATTTTGAACATGTAGAATGTGTTTCATGTGAGTTGATTTTAGAGGTAAGTTTGAGGTAGGCAAATTGAATATACTGACTGTACTGTATACATATCATAGAGTATAACAGTGTAAAGATCATTACATCTATGATATACTACCCACTATATAAATAATAACAAGTTGGCAGACTGAAAGAAAGACATGAGTGGGTTTTTGCACGAAATGCAGATCTCGCCATGTCAATAAACAGTAAACCTGGGTGTGTTGAGAGAAGGGTGAGTCAAGTGAGGATATAAGTGTGAATGGTAGGGTTTTGATGTGTTGGTGTGAAAGGCAAAACAGAAAGCAAAATAATTTGTGTTGTACTGATGTATTAGCAGTATTGTTCAAAAGTTTGGGGTTAAGAAGTATGTCCGAACTGGGGCCGTGTGATATGAATTTTTTTTTTATATATATATATATATACTGAAGTTAATGTGCTGTTAAAGTGCTGTTTAGTGGACAGAAGATTTTTTTCAACACATTTTAATTGTAATATCCAATTTCTGTTGATTTTGATAGGATGCTATTTAAGTTAATAAAGTGCAATTTAAAATCTCAACTAGGTTAAGTTAATTGGGCAATATATATATATATATATATATATATTATTAGCCCCCTTTTGATTTTTTTTCTTTTTTAAATATTGTTAAAAATGTTTAACAGAGCAGTGAAATCTTCACAGTATGTCTGATAATATATATTTTATTTTTTTTTATTTCGGCTATTATAAAAGCAGTTTTTTATTTTTTAAAAGCCATTATTAGGACAAAATTTTTAGCCCCTTTAAGCTATATTTTTGTTCAATTGTCTACAGAACAAACCCTCATTATACAATAACTAGCCTAATTATCCAAACCTGCCTAGTTAACCTAATTAACCTAGTTAAGCCTTTAAATGTCACTTCAAGCTGTACAGAAGTGTCTTGAAAAATATCTAGTAAAATATTATTCACTGTCATCATGTCAAAGATAAAATAAATCTGTTATTAGAAATGAGTTATTAAAACTGCTATCATTAGAAATGTGTTGAAAAAAAATCTACTCTCTGCTAAACAGAAATTGGGGGAAAAAATAAACAGGAGAGCTAATAATTCAAGGGGGCTAATAATTCTGACTTTATATATATATATATATATATATATATATATATATATATATATATATATATATATTCACTAAGAAAAAAAAAAAGACTGTCCAAAAGAGAAAAAAAAAAGTATATTATTGGCCTTGCGTGTTGTTATGCATTTATACTTTTGCGTGCTGTATGTGTTGCTCTGCAATAACACTTCCCTGATAGCTAGCGTTTTGGAAGTTTTTATGTTCCTCTGTGTCAAGTTTCTTTGCTGGTGTTTCGTTTTTTCTGAATGCTGCCTTAATGTACAAGTAGCTCAAACTCGCTCATTTTGAGGCAGGATACGGTGGACGTGCAACAACTTTAATCATCAGGGAAACACAAAACACTTCTTCACGGGACTCGACACTTGTAAACACTCGCTCCATCGGGTTCGCGCGGCTCTCTGTCCCACCCACATTTGTGGGTGACCAATCACAGAGCTTGCACTACATGTCGTTGCAATGTGTAGTTAAATTTTTTGAGAGGTGCGTGACCACACGCAGGCTGCGGCGGAGCATACGCCTGCTCCTGACACAGAATTATAAGGGGCCGATCACACCGAACGCCCATTTACATTTCAAAAATTGTTGGTGCACCACACTGCCTTTTTTGTTGACAAGAAAAAAAAAAGCGCAATGTACTTTTTTAATGTCGATAGGCAATGAATGGATGGTATTGTGTGCGAGTGTTGCTGTTGATATTAATATAATTTTAATAACTAATAATATTGTGAAATTCAAGATTTGTGATTCATACAGCACCAGATAACTCAAAACAGTAACCACAAGTCTCTCCTCCTTCAAAAGTCTGCAGGCACCTCAACCGAAACCCCGCCTCTGCTTTACTTTGATTGGATAATGAAAAAGATGCAAGTAACGTAACGCCCTTTTTTACTTTTTTCAACTGCGAGCATATGGCAGACAAGGGCAAAAATGCGAGGCGCAGTAGGCGGTTAAAACGCAGGGCGTGCAGTGCACATAAGCAGCGCACAAAACGCTTGCGGCCGTTAGTAAGCCATTCAAAAAGGCGCCTCTCATCGCAAAAAGCGCATTCAGTGTGATCAGCCCCAAAATCAGCCTTAACTTCAGTCAATTAACAGTTATATTGACCATGAGAAAAGTACTTTTTAAAAATATTTTAATCAGTTACATTTTAAATGTATGTAGAACCACTTTTATTGACATTTTTCCTTTGTACATGTCATCGCAGGGAAAAAGTCCTGTTCATTAGTGATGCTGTCTCCCTAGTTAGCATAAACAGCCCTGAGTGAGAAGCAGACGTTTTAAATCTGCTGCTATGCTAATGCATAGGAATTTTTTTAGCTCCGCCATTGTTTGAAAAGAGGGCTGGCAGAATAACCTCATTTGAATTTAAAGCAACGGTCATCAAAATGGCACAGTTTGGAAGCCTAATGCTGTGTTCACACCAGATGCGGAACGCACGGATAAATCACGATATTCGCGTGTAAATAGCCTCGTGAACATTTGAGTTTACTCGCTTCATTCGCGCATCAAACCCCGCTTCATTCGCGTGTCAAATTCACTTCAGAACAGACGCGGATTTGCGTGATGGCCAGGGCTTCTGTCTGCCCGGTGACTCTAGCTTCTTTCAACATAAATTTTATGAAGAACATAACAGTGTTTATGTGCTTTATGAAGGCTGAAAAACAGCGTCGATAAATTTAGGGCTGTGTCTGAGTCCACTAGATCCTTTCAAAGGTGCATCCAGCTCTGTGAGCTCATAAACTCCTCCAGAAACTGAACCTGGATGATGGAGGCTTTTAGCAATACTTCTGACTGAGTCAAGCCCAATTTGATGAACTTTTTGTCGGTGTCGGCTGGTGGATTTCCCCGGGACACCGAAAACAGGTGATACGTCACAATCACGCCCCCACAAGAGCAAGCTTCTGATTGGTTAACGCGGGGCGAATGTCCACTGAAGTTTAGATTTTCAACCTAGAGCGATTCGCGCAAAACGCGCATTAAGCAAGTCAAACGCGCAAAATACTCAATTTGCGAGTATCACGCCATTTGCACCGCTCCTATCGTGCAATTCGCGTCATTTGAGCCTCAGATTTTAAAAAGTTGTAAAACAATATTTGTGGGGTATTTTGAGCTGAAACTTTACATGCACACTAAAGGGACATTAGAGACTTATTTTACAGACTTGTAAAAATAGGCATGATAGGTCCTCTTTAAATCAGCATCACCTTGCTAAGCATGATAGATGTCTTTAATCAAATACTAAAACCAAATTTTCGAAAATGTGACACAACACATACACACTAAATAATTTCATTTTGAACTTACCCGGAAGTTTCCACCATGAATGGTATGAAGAGGCTGGAAGTATTTGGATGGGTCTGGAACATGTTGTATTGGTTTTAATGGCCTGCAATGAAATGAGAATGCTTGATACAGGCACAAACAAACAGATTACCTTTTGTAAAGCTGCTGTGTGTGTGTGTGTGTGTGTGTGTGTGTGTGTGTGTGTGTGTGTGTGTGCGTGTGTGCGTGTGTGTGTGTGTGTGTGTGTGTGTGTGTGTGTGTGTGTGTGTGTGGTATTGTGTGTGTGTGGTAGTGTGTGTGTGTGTGTTTGTGTGTGTGTGTGTATATATAGTTTATTCATTTATTATTTATTTATTTATTAATTATTATTATTTTTTTTTTTTTAAAGAACAAACATTGTACTAAATAATAATGTTACTTTGTTAAAAAAAAGCAAGGGCAAGACACACACATGTAATACTCACCGGCTGCTTTTCTTTACTTTATAGATGATTATTGGTATGATAATGAGACCAAGCAGTAGGTTGAATCCAACAATCATAATTACAGGCATATTATCACGCTCTGATGAAAAGCAAAAGAAAACCGTTATCATAGCATAGTCCAATCTTAATTTGAGAAAAAAAATTGTAATTTTACAGAACACACTTTTGGGTGAATCCTCTTTTGGTTTCACTGGTAGGTTTCCAATCTCAGACCTCCAGGATACGGCAGGACTCCATTCACTCCATTCCCCCCGAAAATGACCGTCAGTTTTCGGCTCAACTGGCTTCACACGCACCCTGGCCTGGTATTCTTCTCCTACAGTCAGTAAATCATGGTTGAGCTGCGTGTAGTTTTCTTGAGAGAGTTGGCCGGGTTTTGCCATCTACAGAAGCATACAACAAATACGAGACAATTTCAATGCAATGCAACTCAATTCAATTTTTCATCCATTAAAAAAACTATTTATGTTCTATTTAACTTGCCATGTAATCATCACAAGACAGTTTGACTTAGTTTTGCACTTTTGTTATAACTAGCTGATGAAGTAAATGTTAAATAAAACATGTATATCAAATACGAACGCTTGCTTACCTCCCAGCTTGTATGTGCATCTTTAAACTGCAATTGAAATTCATGCTTCTTAATGGATTTAGGAAAGTTACTGCCTTTACTCCAAGACACGTTGCTCCCATTCACAACAGGCTTATCTGGTGGTTGCGTCTTAACTGACATTTAATAAATAAAGAAAAAAATAACAAGCATGAGGGAAAACTACATTGATAACAGAAGTAACAACAAAATAACTTACAGGAACATTCCAGTTTTTTGGAAACAGACTCGGTTTATAACTCCCCTATTGACTCTTGCTCAATTTCAAAAACAGAATTTAAAGCTTGACTCTTTTGTGTTTTAATCTTGTACTAAGACTGACATAAAATAAAAAGTAGCTTTAAACTATGCTCTTATTTCTGCATGATTAACAAGGAACTCTCCTACCATACCATGGCTGCAGGTGCAATGATATTACGCAGCAACTGAAAATAGTCTATAGTAAATAGCTAGGTAACTAAATAACAGTGCCTGTATAATACAGTTGAAGTCTAAATTACTTGCCCTTTTTCAAATATTTTCCAAATTGTGTTTAACAGACCAAGGAATTTTTCACAGTATTTCCTACAGCATTTTTGTTTCTTCTGGAGAATGCCTTGTTTGTTTTATTTGGCTGTAATAAAAGTAGTTTTAATATTTTTTAAATGCATCGAAATCGGCTGAATGGGTTCAAAAATGGTAAAACTCAACCATTGAACTCTAGGTTAAATTAATCTATTTCCAAAAAAAGTTGCAGTGTTTCTTTAAACCATGTCCTTACTGACATTTGAAAGTATGTTATATTGGACCATTATTGCCTTTTTAGCATATAAGTAGAGGACACAAACTAGCCAGACAGTGAATTGTGGAGCAGGATAAATCTTTAAAAAAAATTCAGTATTTTTAGTAAGTGTACTTTTTTGTTGTTGTTGCTTTTTTTCCATAATAAAAATGTATTTGTAGAGCAATCCATGTTCTGTTTTCATTAATATTTTAATAAACTACAACAGGTAGATCTGTCTGAACAGACAAGGTAGAACAAAAGCAAGTGATGCTTCAAAGTTTGATTAAAAAAAATTCTGAATGGTTATAAAAATCTTTAATCATTAAAATTGGTAAACATGATAAAAATAATTAGTTTAAAAATCTTGAACGATATTAATGATATGACGTAGTTCCAGAAACTTCCTGCTTCTATATTTATTCATTTCGTCAGGTGTGCGCGCAGTCAGCGGAGGTCTATGACGCCGTGCCAGGCGAAAGTATAAATTATAAATATAAATAAAGCTGTAGGTACTTCAGGGCAAGGCAAGTTTATTTATATAGCACATTTCATACACAGTGGCAATTCAAATGACTTTACATAAATAGGAATAAAAGAGACAAGTATAAGAAAATAAAAACTAATATTAAAAAGGATAAAAAACAGATAAGAATGTGTTAAAATAGGTTATAAAATAAAAAAAGAAGAGAAAAACATAATAGTCTGATCTGTGGGATGTAGCACAGTGCTCATTCAGTAAAGGCACAGCTTTACAGATGTGTTTTCAGTCTTGATTTGAATGTGCCCATTGTTAAAGCACATCTGATCATTTCTGGAAGCTGATTCCAGCAGCTGGGGGCATAGTGGCCGAAAGCCGATTCGCCCTGCTTTGACTGATCTCTGAATTTGTTAGGTTTGTATTCAGTGAGCATATCTGTAATGTATTGAGGTCCTAGGCCATTTAGTGATTTATAGACCAGTAAAATTACTTTAAAATCTATTCTCAATTTAACTGGGAGCCAGTGTAGAGACCTGAGGATAGATGTGATGTGCTCTGATTTCCTTGTTCTGGTCAGAATCCTGGCCGCAGCTTTCTGGATGAGCTGCAACTGTCTGACTCTTTTTGGGAAGGCCTGTGAGGAGGCTGTTACAGTAATCCACCCTGTTGCTGATAAAAGCATGAACAAGTTTCTCTAAGTCCTCACTGGAAACAAAGCATCTGATTCTTGCAATGTTTTGGAGATGATAGTATGCTGATTTCCTAACTGGTTTGACATGACTATTGAAACTCCGATCTGACTCCAGAGTCACACCAAGATTGTTGACCTCATTTTTTGTTGTTTGACCTTTAGAGCCAACGCATTCACCTTGAGAACCTCATCTCTGTTTCCAAACGCAATGACTTCAGTTTTCTCTTTGTTTAACTGAGGAAAATTTTGGCACATCCAACTGATAATTTCATCAATGCACTTCAGCTCGAAGACCATTTGATTTCTGTTTATTGCTGATTTTTAGCAAGTGGCATGAAAGTGATTAAATTGATTACACTTTGATGAGCATGATTGAGCAGGAGGTAACCAGAATAAGAGGTATTAGTTAACCCTGCATCCTCTGACTAAATTCAGAATGTCGAGAATGCCGGGGCTGTGAAACTCTATGTGGCATCAATGTATAAGGCAAGAGTATGGGATCAGATATCAATCAAGACTGTAAATTGAGTCATGAATGACAAATGTGATCAATTCCTAATTCTATATACGGTCTAAATTTAATGCTCGCTTGAAATGGGAGCCAGATTAAATTTGGAACTAGAAACCAATTTAAGTAAAGTGTAATATATAAGAGATTTATTTTCAGAAGGGCAAAAAAGACTTTTCAACTTACAATAGAAAAATTCGAAATGACTTCCACTTACTGTGTCGGCCTGGCTTATAATGCAGGCTGCTGATGAGTGATCCATTACAGCTCACAGACAATACCATTTTGCTAAGGAAAAAGAAGTACTGTGTGACAGAAAGGTAAAATGTAAGGAAACAATTCTTTTAATCAATTTTATGAAAGATTTCAATTTCTACTTACAGCATTTTCACAAAATAAAAAACAGCTTCTGGGAGAATTTGAGAGGTTGTTCTGCGGCACCAGCTCACATCTGGAAGATTTTGATTGGCTGCTTGGACTTTAGCACACAGACACATTCAAATTCAATAAGGCTTGTTCATAAGTGTTTAAAATTGACTTGAAGTGAAGTAAAATCACAAACCTTATTTTACAGTTAACCTCAAGCTCACATTGCTGGTTGGAGAAATTGCTATAGTTCCACCACACGCAAGAAATGTTTGTCATGTAGTCATTCACACAGGTCAGATCTCCTGTTTATGGTAAGTCAGAAGACAGTTAGAGGATAGAAAACAAGTAAATTTGTTTTGTCTCTACAATAGTTTCAAATTAGATCGATGTACTAATAACAAACATTCAGAGACAATTCATACTTCTGACGTTTGGATAGTATATGAACTCTTATAGGCCATTGAGACGGAACACATTTTCCATTGTTTTTCAATGTAAACTTTAGGCATGGGCCGGTATATGTTTCTGACGGTATGAAAACCTTGGGTAAAAATATCATGGTTTCACGGTATTGTGATTACTGCTCTAAAAAGCTCTTTTTAAATATCTTTGTAAAAAATAAAATTTCCCCTTTGAACACATTTCATTTTAGCAAACATTTAGAATATTTTGGAGCAGTAAACATGTCAGGCTGAATAATTTAAATAAATCATTGACTTCTGCTTTCTTCATTAGTTTCAAAAATACTGATTTATTTGCAATACATAAAAAAAACTTTTAGTTTATTTCTAGTTAAATGCATTGTGTGTGCACGTTACTCTTGCATCTCGCATATTGTCAAAGTGCCACACACATAAACGCTACAGTTTTTAGATGCTGTCAAGATCTTCAACCTTTACAAGCAACGTTGCTCATCACTGTCAGTTCCAGATCACTGGTTGAAGCAAGTGTCTAATTATAGATGCTCAGTAGCTGTATTCAGATACCCTCAAGCTCTGCGCGGTACTTTTTTACAAGCCATTTCTGAGCGTTGCATCTGACAATTTTAGACACAAAGGCTAAAGAAAGTGCAACAAAACATTGTGCTTTTATGAAATGAGCTTCAGACAGGTGAGTGGGCTTGACAAACCATCTGTAGAAACACTCTTCTCTTTATCAAAAAAATAAATAAAATGAATTACTCTGGCACATAGGTGCCCAAACTCAGTCCTGGAGGACCAATGCCTTTCAGAGTTTCCTGCAGAACTTCCTTCAATACACTTGTCAGAAGCTTTGTAGAATACCTGGTAAAAGCTTGATTAGCTGGTTCCGGTGTGTCTAATTGTGGTTGGAGCTGAAATCTGCAGGGCACCGGCTCTCCAGGATCGAGTTTGGGCACCCCTGCTCTAGCAGTTAATTCTTTGAGCACAGTTCATTTGTATGGTTAGTACTTCTTGTCTGTCTCTTCTTGAATCACTGAATGCCTCCTCAATTGTAAGTTGTTCATTTATGCGAGCATCATTTATAGCAGTTCACACGTCTTTGACAATTACATGTACAAGCTGGTTTGGCAAAAAACAAGTGCATACTCACTTCGTCACGAAGTGCATGCATATGTTTGTTTTTTTACACCAATTGTTTTGCTTTATAAGTGTATTATCGGTATCATTTACAGTGTAGTGTACAGTAAAGTCACAGGGATTAATTTGGATTGTTTGTATGTTTACATTTTTTATCAAAAATGTGTGACTATTGACTGCATTATACTAGGGGTGTCAAGTTCCTGGAGGGCTACATTCCTGCACAGTTTAGTTCCAACCCTGCTTCAATACACTTACCTGTAGATTTCGAACAAGCCTGAAGGGCTTAATTAGTTTGATCAGGTGTGTTTAATTAGGATTGGATCTAAACTGCAGAGCTGCGGCCCTCCAATAACTGAATTTTACACCTGTCGATTATACGAATTGCCAGTATCCACAAATTCAATTAAAAATCTTTTTTAATGTTCTACTGAACAACACAAGTCACCTAGATTTTCAATGACCAGAGGGTCATTGTAAATGGAGTAAATTAACTGTAAATTTTCTTTTTTTTTTTGATGTGTTAGCTCACTTTAATGCTGTGTTTGATTTCTACTTTATAACTGTAAATTTGTTTGCCTTTTATTAAAGAAATGGAATTATACTTATTTTTTCAGGTTTGCTAAATATTCCTGTAAAAATCCTTTACAAAATGTTCTGCAAGTTGTTTTATGCTTCTAAAAATAATCTGTAGAAAAAAAATATTACATTACATTTACTTGACGCAGTAGACGCACAACGGCCAATAATGACATAAAATGACGTTGATATTTGGTTGATTTTAGGTTGTGTTGGAAAGTGACCAAAATCCAACGTCGAGTCAACATTTTAAACCAACCTCATATTTACGTCAAATACTGACATTTATTCGTCAGGTATGGCAACCAAAATTATATAGACGTCATGATGGTAAAGTCTAAACAATGTCAAGCTATTTCATCATTAAACGTTGATATATTGTTGTTTTTATGTTGCATTGGAAAGTAACCAAAATGCTAATGCTAAATGCTAAAACTTCAGTCTGATGTTGGACTTTGACTTCGACCTGACGGTTCTGACATCAACCCGATTTTTATTTTCAACAAAATGCAACATCCCACGACATTGGGGTACAACATCAGTCTGTAGACATGTTGACATTCTGTGCCTGCTGGGGAGTAATCACATAAAAAAAATCTTGTGAAAAAAAAGTATTCTCCAAAAAAATGAACGAGATTGCACTTGTCATGTGGTTTTCTCTGAGGCAAAACCTAAAAAACAATGTTTATTTTTTTAATATTTCACGGGTATCTCAAAAATATACCTGCAAAATTCTGGGAACACTAATTTATGATAGTAAACACATTGAATAGAAAAAAAAATAGGAACACTTTAATAAAATTAAGATTGGCTTTGTACCTGTTTGTGAGTTGCTGGACTGGCAGGTTCCACAAAGTATGATGAAGATGAACAGAAGGGAACGCCAGTAATCCTTCATCACTACTTGGATCTTAAACACAAAGATATATCACAAAAATATATCACTATACAGAGCTCAGCATATATAAGTGCACCCTTCACAAATTGTGTTTTAAATTAATAATTTTAATAGGAAGCTATAAAATATTATATTTGTGCATATACATTAGATTTATCAGTACTGAAGCCAAATCTGGAGATAACGGTCCAAAACCTAGTACACCCAAATTTATATGATATAGAAAAATATTAAATACAATTTTTAAAAAGAGGAAAAATCAAGAGAAGCAAAAAAAAAAAAAAGAGGAAACATTTAGTAGAAATTTTGTAGGTTGTAATTTTTATGGCAATATTTTGCTTGAATTTAAATGTATTATCCTTCAATTTCTCAATGTTTGGTGACTAAAACATTTTTATGAATATATCTGTTTAATAAATCTGTTTAGTTTAAATGCATTAAAATACATTGCCTATATTCACAGAGAAATGGATAAATATATTCATTTTCAAAATGGGCTGTACTCACTTATGCTGAGCACTGTATACGCATCATTGGATTCACCTTTTCTATTTTACTAAAAGTTCTACTGTGAATAATATTATAGGATGCATTTCAGGTTTCAGGAATTTCCACTCAAACTATTAAGAAAAAAAAATTTAACTAAAACAAATCTTTGCGAATCATAAGGTTGCACCACAAAATTGGCATTGATGGTTCAATAAACAATCTTGAACATTCATGCAACCTTTTAATTCAGCCAATTTTTTCGCATCATAAAAATATATTTCATGCTACACTCTCAGAAATAAAAATACGTGAGCTGTCACTTTGGTGGTACATTTTGAAAAGGTAAACCATATTAATATTTACCATATTAATACCTTAAGGGATCACATTAGTACCTAAAATGTACAAATTAATTTGAATTATTAGAAACTAATATATAATTTTGAGGTACCAACATGGACCCTTCAAGTACAAATGTGTACCTTTTGAAAAGGTACCACCCCAGTGACAGTTCGCATACCTCTATTTCTGAGAGTGTAAGGGAAAAAAGTTCACAAAAAAATGTCAATATACAATCCTTTTTAGCAGCATTTATTGTAGATTTCTCGTGCAGGTAAATACAATATTCGTCTATGTGTTAAATATGCAAAATCATTTTGAAATTCACTCAGCATTACGTTTTAATCAACACAACAAGGTTACACAATACAGACAAACAGTACTTTACTACAGTGATATTTAATGTGCGTAATATTGTTTCCAAAAAAATCACGTTCATATAGTTTTTGATGAGCTACTGAAAGTTAAATGTGTTAATGCGTTTAGTTTAATTTTAAAGTTCAATGTTTGAAGGATATGTATATGTCATCTCAGTTTTGTTTATTATTGAAAAGGTCCATTTTGGGTTGTAAACAATGGGCATGAATGGAGATGGAAAAGCAAAAGTAAATATTATTCGCCCTCTTGTGAATGTTTTTCTCTTTATCAAATATTTCCTAAATGATGTTTAACAGAGCAAGGAAATTTTCACAGTATGTCTGGTAATATTTTATCTTCTGGGTAAAGTCTTATTTGTTTTATTTCCGCTAGAATAAAAGCAGTTTTTTACTTTTTAAAAATCATTTTAAGGTCAATATTATTAACAATATTTTTTGGATAGTCGACAGAGCAAACCACTGATATACAATGATTTGCCTAATTACCCTAACTTTAACCTAATTAACCTAGTTAAGTCTTTAAATGTCACTTTAAGCTGTATTGAAGTGTCTTGATAAATATCTAGTAGAATATTATTTACTGTCATCATGACAAAGATAAAATAAATCAATCATTAGAGATAATTTATTAAAATTATTATGTGTAGAAATGTTGAAAAAAAAATCATCTCTCCGTTAAACAGAAATTGGGAAAAAAATGAATGGGGCTAATAATTCTGACTTCAATTGAGTTCATATGTGCTGTCCTCTACATTTTCTTGCATGCAGCAGCAGGATATATCTTTAGGATATTGAATTGTTTGCAGCTTCTGTCATTCACCTTTATTGTATGAACATTTAACACAATTAACAAAAGTCATACAGTGTTAACATAAACGAGATGCACAGCAGAGTAAATGAGGATTGTTTTTCATTCTGAGTCTTTAAACATTTCACTACATACAGTACCACACAAGTGACAACACTCAATATTTCATCAATTTTCAACACACGTTGCATTGTTAACAGGTTAACACTCGTACCCGGTGCAGCACAGACTGTGGTCAAATTAATCTTTTGAATTAAAATCAATATCTATAATCATATTTGGTGTGGGAAACAATGTGATAAGGCCATCTGGTAATAATTTAGTGGCAAACTATGAGGTCACAAACTGTCGCTATGGAGATATGACTAAGAGTGCAACCACAAATGTTGTTGGTTCTTAACTGTGGCTGAAAGTGACACATATAGAAAAATACACGCACAAACCATATTGCTCCCAGCAAGGAGGCTAAGTTTAGTCATGATGAACTGGGAAGTTAAAACAAACGTTCTAGATCTCAAAACCGGAGAGAAATGATACAGTATGCACTGAAATGGTGGCAAAATCTTTAGTGTCGCATAACAGCACATTTTACATTTGTGTATATTGTTTTTTTTTTTTTTTTACACAAAATAGATTTTTTAAACCTTCAAAGTATACCTCGCTTAAAAAAACAAAGTGTTGACAGTTTTAATGTATACAGTTAGCCAGTGGAGCTTTAAGACTTTCACTTTTAAATGGCATTGCTGTGGCTTTTTACCTGACAGGATGTTGCCTAAAGAAAACTGTAAACTGCAAGCATGCATATTGAATTCCATTGCAAAATGTTGAACTTTGTGCTTTAGATGCACAAATGTGACGCAAGCTGCCTCTTTTGCTGAGTGGGCCATTGTCAGCAGCGCAGCCCTCTTTGTGAGTGGGTGGTCAGCCTGTATACAAGCAATTTCCACTAACGCTAACAAACGACACCCACAGACGTCAACAAAAACCCTCAACTCAAACCGTACTGTGACTTCTTGTAAAAAGACTCAATTGTATACTGGCGGCCCAGACGATGAGAGATTTCAAACCGTGACGGGACACTCTGCAATCTATGATCATGCGGTTTCACTTTAACATTTTTAAAAGTGAACGCTGAGCAATTCCGATAGCATTGCTATGATAGTATTTGAACATTAACTACTGATATGAGTAAGTGATCGCTACAAGCGTCTGTTTCAGTTCTCTCGGTTTCACGCATTGCTACTTGAGAGCTCCTAAAATCATCACCGGCTTGTGTTTCTTTGTTCTGTTGAAAACAAAAGGAGTTATTTGTTGGAAAGGGGAAACCATAGTGTTTTTTTTTGTACATTCTTTGAAATATCTTCTTTTATGTTCAACAGAAAAAAAGAAAGCATCTGGAATTATCTGAGAGACAGTAAATAGTGAGTGCATTTTCATTTTGGGGTGAACAATCTCGTTAAGTGCACAGATAATTTATCTGTGCATAATGAATATTAATCACTTAATTTATTAAAAATAAATATAAACCAAGTTAATTGTTACCAATTAAAAAAACTTGATTCCAGTGTTGGGAAAAAAGTAAGATATTACATTCTGCAGTCACTTAAAAAAAAACAACGTAACTAAATGTGTTTTCTAACTTTTTTAAGGGCGCAATGTGAATATGCTATGTTATTTTATTGTAATTTGCATTTTTTTTCTTTTTTTAAAGAGATAAGGTAGACAAAAAATTGTAATATATTACTTTTTATCCAGTATCGCTTATTTCACCTATTCATAATGAATGAGATGTTGCCAATGACTAATGATTCGGATTTTGACTGTAATGTAATACCTTACACCTTATGCAAAGCTGCATTGGAACGATAATTATTATTAAATGCACTGTACAAATAAACTTGAACTGAATTGAATTGAATGGAGTTGAAGTAGTCAACCCACGCAGCGACCTCAAAACAATTTTGGAGACCAAATTCACACATCAAAATGTCTAAATATTGTTGCATCAGACACCAAAATATACCGAAACCAAATGTGGTGTCTGCAAACATAGCTATCAAAACTATATACTCACCTTGTCATTTCGCGAACACTTTAAAACAGCAGGGTTATTATTGATGTATGAAGTCAGTTCGCACATGACACTAAGCACGCATACTCCACTCATGAAGTGCCTCGAAATGTTTAGTCTTTTACTGCATGTCTATTAATTTATCATTTGAAAACCTAAACAAATTCTTCCTTTTCTCCAGACCAAATAATGCTTTTTAATTGTGACTTAAGTGTTTACAGTCACTGTAGATGAAATGACATCACTTCTGTCAAACCAGGTCAGCTTTTTTCAGAATTGAAAGACTTGAGATTGACTGATTGAATAGATCACTGCTCGACCCAGCAGTTCTCGAGTACCGTAAGTAAGTAAAAAAGTAAGTAAAAGACTTACCCTTTGCCTTCAGTAGTCTGCGCAGGCAGCATGGATGCTGAGGTCTGTCTGTGTACTTGACCACCTACCCTTCATCCTTCTATCTTTACCGCTCATTCTCTGTCTGCTCCTCCCCTTCACCTCATTCTGTCAGAAGGATCTGTCTTTCTATATCACTCTACTTCTTCCTTTCTGCTACTCATCCTTTCTCTCTCTCTCTCTCTCTCTCTGCTCATTGCATTAGTGACTTACTAACCACAACTTTGCTAAAAAGTTTACAAAGCACAAAAAAAAGCCAAATCAAAGCTTCAGAGATGCAAAGCCATCTGATGCAAGACTTATTCTTTACTCGTATTACTTCTATGGATTTTTTAGGGTGTCTGTGGTACTGGGACAGTCTGAAGTTTTGATTTGTGCATGCATTGATTGCTTCTAGAAATGCAATGAAAGTTTGACATTTCTTGGCATTTGATAAGAGTAAATATTAGCCACCTGGGCCCCACACTGGGCTTGACACAGTGCATGAGCCATGCTATGAAAACAAGAGTTTAAGGGACCACATCCTGTTAATACAATCTTTTTTTTATAGCCACAGACTACACACACACACACATACACAGAGAGAGAGAGAGATGCATATAAACAAACTGCATGCATGCAAGAATCCACAATCACTAACAAATAAGCAAACGTACAAGCAAAGTAATAGAGATTAAATTAATCAATAGAAAGACAACCATGCTTTAATCAGTAATTAAGAAACATGCCTAATATACAGTCTCTATATATGTATAGCTATTCATCATCGCTGCATGGGTATGTTCGCAAATAAGTCATCCACAACTGGCCCTAGATAAGTCACTTGCAGGTATACAATGTTTGTATATTGCATGTTGTCAATATAATGTACATGTATATATCGATTGAACTAAAGTTGAAGATTGAAGACATTGAAAAGCTAAAGTCATTTCTGCACCACTCTTACATTGCCATTAAACACTGTTTTTTGCATACTCTTTGCATGTTCCATTGGTCAATCTAACTCATAGGCCTTGTTGCGTGTGGCGTTCACTCCTGCCCTTAATAATTACTTTCAATTGATCTTGTTTGTCCTTTTCCCTTTTCAGTTTTCTATTGGTTAATCTGGTGGCGTCAGGCCTTTAAAATGAACGGAAGCGGATTTCTACGGCCCTCATTCCTCCACGTCACCACAGTCTTTGACGGCTTTATTGTTGTGTTCTCCTTCAAGCTTTCGTTTTGATATTTGTTTGGAGTGGGGAGCTCCAACCTGGTTTAGGTTTGTTTGGTTGTTCTTTATTATGTTGTTGGGCTCCCCATCTCTTGTCAATTTGGATTGTAACTCAATTCCTGAAGGGCCGCAGCTCTGCAGTTTTTGCTCCAACTGATCAAGGTGTTCAAGAATACTAGAGACTATTAAGCAGGTGTGAGTTGGAGGTGGTTGGAGTTAAAGTATGCAGGGCTTTAGCTGATTAGTCCGATTAGTCACAGTAGTCAATAATATGTACTGTCGGGTTTGCTGTGATGCTTAGACAAAACCAAAAGTCAAAGCTAGGGTGTCCAAGCTCAGTCCTGGAGGGCCGGTAACCTGGATAGTTTAGTTCCAACTTACTTCAACAGACCTGCCTTGAAGTTTCTAGTATATGTGACTATTTTAAGTGTTATAAGGTTCCTTTTACAGCACCATTGATGTCATGTAATTAAAATACAATCAGTTAAATACACTTAAGCATTCATTTAATTGTTGATGATAGACCGCGTAAACTCTTGCGTCATCAGAAGCTTGAGGCGAGTGCAGAATCTCCATTGAATGTACTGGGGTAAAATACATTTTCATATTTTAAAAAGATGGCAGGGAAAAATGGAAGTTAACGCAGTGCTTCTTGTCCAGTCTGAGACCAACTTTATATTATATATCTATCGGGCAGTGAAGATTAATTATTTTTAAGGTAAACAGATCTTAAACTTTGTGATTTTGTAATAGAAAGCCAGTTCACCGAAAGCTGTTGGGCTGGCTAGGGCTGGTCAATAAATTAAAGTAATCAATATCGACATTTAGAACTTAAAATCAATCTAATTTTTCAAGGTCGATTTTATTTTTCTATTACTTTTCCTACCACGTGTGGAGTCACGTGACCCCAGTTTGTTACTTTGCACTAAATTGACAATGATTGAAAGCTGGGTCAGAGATGCCTTGAGACGGCATATTTTCCATTTTATTAAAATTATTATTTACAATAAAATATTTGTTTACAGAAGAAGCTAGAAATGCACTGTTTAAAATATCATTTACATGATATACGGTACCAGTTATTTCATATATTACAATTTTATTTAGAAAAGATGCTGCTTATTTTCTACTTTTATTATGAAAAACACTGAAAATAATTAACTTTGTTTCCAAAAGTGCAAGTTATTTATTTTCACTTTTTTATTTAAAAAAAGTGGCTGTTGGTTTTAGGCAATGTGTGTTTTAATTTCAGTTGTTCAATGTTGATGTTCTATATATAATCATAGATTGTAAATAGTGTGTGTTTCCTTTAATTATTTTAAAATCAAGTAAAGTACCCTTGTAACCACCTTATATGTGAGCATGTTTACTAAACTTATTGTTAAACTGTGAGGGCAAACAATGAATAAATAAACAAAATAATTGTTCATTAATCATAATTAAGTTAAAATGTTCAATTAATCGCCCAGCTCTAGGGCTGGCTGTCTTGCAATTAAAAGTCTGTGTGCATGTACCCCATTGGAGTTGGAACTAAAATATGTAGGACACCAGCCCAGAATTTTGGCACCCCTGGGCAAAGCCAACACACTTATTTACAAAAACAGCAAAGATGTATGAGTTTGTAAAACTGGGCATGCATGAAACTATTTTCCCCCTGATTTTCTAGTAGTGTTCGAATAAGGGTGTATTGCATTTAGGGTTAAGTTTGATGTTCGTTCTATAATGAAGTGTCAAATTTTATTGATTTCACCATGTTGTATGAATTATTCCAACTTCCCTTCAGACCACTTATATAAAGCTGATGTTTACAGTGGTTTGGTCAAATTTATCATTACTATGAAATGTTGAAAGCAAAATTTGACATTTTGAGTGAGGGTGAAAGATAATTTTTAGCAGATTTTGCATATACAGTTGAAGTCAGAATTATTAGCCCCCTTTTTAATTATTATTTTTTTAAATACTTCCCAAATTATGTTTAACAGAGCAAGAAAATTTTCACAGTATGTCTGATATTTTTTTTTCTGAAGAAAGTCTTATTTGTTTTATTTCAGCTAGAATAAAAGCAGTTTTACTTAAAAAAAAAAACATTAAGGTAAAAAAAATTATTAGCCCCTTTAAGCTATATATTTTTTCATTAGTCTACAGAACAAACCATCGTTATACAATAGCTTGCCTAATTACCCTAACCTGCCTAGTTAACCTAATTAACCTAGTTAAGCTTTTAAATGTCCCTTTAAGCTGTATAGAAGTGTCCTGAAAAATGTCGTCAAATATTATTTACTGTCATCATGGCAAAGATAAAATAAATCAGTTATTAGAGATGAGTTATAAAAACTGTTGATTAGAAATGTGTTGAAAAAAATCTTCTCTTCATTAAACAGAATTTGGGGGTAAAATAAACAGAGGAACTAATAATTCTGACCTCAACTGTATATAAGAAATGTATAGCTATGCCATCAACAACAGACTTTTTTATCCTGTTGTTGTTGTTGTTGTGTTTAACAGTGTTAATACGTACTGTATAGCATTACTGCAAGATGGTAGAGAGAGTTCTGGATGCAGACTTAGTGCAGTTGAAAGGTGAGCAGCATGCAATGCTTTTAATGTGCACACCATTGTTGGTGGTTTCCCATTTGTTATTTTTACTGTTGGCACCATTAACCTTTTATAGGCCTGTGCAAAAACATTTCTGGCTTTTAAATGGAGTTCTATGGAGTAGAACTACAAATTATAGGCTGTGCGCATAAATACACTTGTTAACTATGTTCTGAGAACTGAGGTGCTTATTTTTGAAGTGTGCAAAGGTTGCTCTTTTAGACATGCACACTCAAACACATGCTATACTCCAAAACGAAGGCAGAAACTAAGTTTTTTTTGCACTGTAAATTATGATCAACATAAAAAAAATAACAAATTTTAACTAAAAGTGTCCATATTATGAAAGTCAATAGGGCAAAAACTGCCACTAACATAATGAAAGGGTAGTAAATTTCCCCAGAGTGTATTGAGTTTTTGTAAAATGTCAAAGCATTTTCCCAAAATATGTGCCAAAGTAAAATTTGTCACCAATAAAACATTCCATTTGCTGAAACGCAGAGAAAGTTGTGATTAATATGCCGGAATGAAAATATAGTTGGCATGGGCCACTATAAGATTCGGACGGGACACCCTTGGATAATGATATAACGGTTTTAAAATATTTTGGAACAATAAACATACCACCAGGCACAGGACATCAACATGACGTGAGATTGACGTTGTACCCCAACTTCAGGGGGACGTTGCATTTTATTTGTAGGTGAAAATCAGGTTGATGTCAGAACCCAGTGTTATTCCAATGTCAGTATTTGATGTTAGTATGACATTTGGTTTAAGATGCGACGTTGGATTTTGGTCACTTTCCAACTCAACCTAAAATCAATCAAATATCATCATCATTTGACATCGTTATTGGACGTCAAATTAACATTGTCTTAGACGCTGACTAGACGTTAAATTTTGGTCACTTGACGTCATGACCTACATCTAACCTAATATTAACGTCTAATGATGTTGTGTCTCTGCTGGGATGTCAGGGTCAATAATTCAAATAAATCATTGAATAAATCATTCTGCTGTCTTTATTTGTTTCAAAAACACAGATTTCTGAAGTACAGTATTTAAAACGCACTCTTTGGAGATATTTTTTGCTAAAGATACTGTTGTCCTAGAAAATTGAAAAAAAATAAAAATATAAAATCTTACTCATACTTTAGGAATGGTGTGTAGTTCCTAGTAACATTGGACTGGAAAATAGTAACTTATCATTTTCTGTCGGCCTTACAAAAAAAGTAAAACAAAAGAGTCCAGCGTTAAATTGGAAACTTATCGAAACTCATTGGTCATGTTTGAGCGAAATGCTAACGGTCTAATGTTTTATGCTAAGCTAAAATTGCTCCTGCCAGACCCAGAGATTGGCTGAATGGGTTAAAAATCAACTGTTTAACGTTAGAGGCGTTGTAAAATTAGTAAATTAAAAAAAAAAACTCGGAGTGTTCATTTAACATGAGATGCTTCTGTAGAAGTTATCTTTAAAAAAAGGAAATGGAAACTTGTAAACAGTTTAGTGCCATATATGGTTAACAGTTCTGTCATGTAGGTAAAAGTGAGAATGCAAAGTTGTCAAATAAAGCAGTCCAAAGGAACTATAAGAGCAATCAACATTTAATTCTGCATGAGAACAGAAACTAAAAGTGTTGAAGAGATGTGTAACTTGCTGCTTTGTAAAGGTCAGTTTTGTCTCGGTGAAAGGAAAGGGGGAGGGTTGACGATCATGCAAAACATTCAAAGAGCCTCGGATTGGAAGACCGCAAAGAGAAGGTGTTTGTAGGGTCTTAAGTAGGTGTTAAGTTATG